GTCCTCTAAATAAGTAGAAAGACACACACTCCCTCCATTGACTTCAGTGGGGATGAATCAGATCCAAAGTACAAATCTGAATTCATCTTAAACTGTAGCACTTTTACAGTGGCATCCTCTTCACGTGAGTGCTTGTAAATGCCTTTAATACATCCACAGCACTGTGAGGGCATTACATTTGAGGAGGCACTTTTGACAAAAATCTTCACAACTTACCCCAAAAAATTGCCAAATGAAGCTGCCAAAGGACAGGAAATATTATTTGTGCTTCAAATTATCACAGTGGTTCAACTATAAGAACTGAAGAGCCACTTTGAAAGTTATATTTTAGTATTAATTACTTTTAGAATGTTCCTCCCATTCCTTCAAGTTGTTTTTCCAACAAAGAAATGCCTGTGAAAGGTCACTATATGTAACGTACAACTGTAACTCCTTGGCAAACATTCCAGGGAATTAGCTGTGGTAGGCCTCCTGAACTATGCAGGCACATAAACAGCATCATGAGGTTCTTAAGATCAATAACAGAGATTTTGTTTGAGCATTATCATCTCACTTGTGGTGGATCATAAGGACGTTAAGATAAGGACATTGTGTGAGACTGCAGAAGTTTAAGTCCTGTTAATAAAAGTCCATCTTTAAAAAAAACAAATACAGTTATATAGTAATTCAAACACAAGGTAAGTGATTTATGTCTCAAAATAGAGAAGACTTTCAGATAACATCAGATGCGTGGAGAAGGCTTCATTATTGTTGAATTATCTAGATGGTATGTCTGGGTGAAGTATTTTTAGCTATAACATTAGTGATAATGGGGCCTCAGAGGGGTAGCCATGTTAGTCTGTAACTAAAAAAATTATAAAACAATAATGGTCCTTCAGCACCTTAGAGACTAACAAAAATGTATTAATAGTATCATAAGCTTTTGTGGGCACAACCCACTTCTTCAGATGACAAATATGGAGCCAGGGGCCCTGAGTTTTAAATATAAAGCAGAAAAAGAGGAAAGAGGGGGAGGACAAAGAAAGGTGTGTGTGAGAAGTCCCATGAATCATTAACAATCTACAGCCTATCCTGAAGAAAGATCCCTCACTCTCACAGGCATTGGGGGACAGGCCAATCCTTGCCTACAGACAACTCTCTAACCTGAAACAAATTATTTGCAGCTACCATACATCACACCTCAAACTCAGGAAAACATCCCTGCAGTAAACCCCAGTACCAATTTTGTCCACACATCTACACAATCGACATAATCACAGGACCTAACCACATAAGTCACCACATCAGAGGCTCATAAAACTGCACATTCACCAATGTGATCTATGCCATCTAGTGCCAGCAGTGCCCCTCTGCCATGTATATTAGCCAAACTGGACAGTCTCTATGACAAACGCTTAATGGGCACAAAACAGATATTCAAAATGATAACACACAGAATACTGTTGGGGAACTTTTTAACTTGCTTGGGCACTCATTAGTGGATTTTAAAGGGTGCTGTTCTCTTACAAAACAATTTCAGGAATCATCTAGAGAGAAAATCTGCAGAACTAGCCTTCATATGCAAATTTGATAATATCTCACAGGGCCTGAACAAAGAAAGACATGAACTGGACGAGCCATTATATTTAAAACCCAAATGACATTAAAAGCTAAGTTTCAGGCACTTACAGCCTACTCTATTAGCCTCATTTAACACGGACACTTTAATTGACATTTTTTCCCCCTTTCTTTCTCCTAATTCTCTCCCCACTTCTTCTGATTTATATGTCAAACTCTGGGTCTCTTGATCCATATTTGCCATCTGAAAAAGTGGGTTGTGCCCATGAAAGCTCATGATACTATTTGTATTTTTTGTTATTTTTTCTAAGTTGCTACAGGACCATTGTTGTTTTATAAGTTTTTTCAGACACAACATTATGGGAATTGCATAATCCTTTCATGTTTACCTCCTGATGCAAAGCCATAGAAAGCCTATGAGAGTTTTTCACTTGACTTCAATCAGGTTCTTAATACACTGTGACTGCAAGATATGGAGGAAAAATCCTCATTTATAAAATTATTTGCAGTCCCATTACGTTTTTCATATATAACGAAGTGCATATTTTCTTGAGAGCACATTGTCTTGTTTCTATGTAGACTCTAGGCAGGTGTTCCCAAGCTACAATTCATGTACTACTCCTGATACTTTTAAGCTTGTTGTGAAATGAATTAATAGAACTTCAGGTTTGGTTTTTGTTTGTTTGTTTGTTTGTTTTTATGAAGTGTTGGTAGACAGAGCAATAAAGGACTGCATCTTGCATTCATAGATTTTCTTTTAATCTAAAATTATCCAGCACTGGCAGTAGGTGGGCAGGGTTGCTTGTTTTAAGCTAAACTGAAATAGAAAATATATTCTTTATGAGAATGATTAAACTTTAATGGTAATTAATAATTAGGTATAGAGGATTCAACAATGTTTTTGTAAGTTTCATACTGTGTCTAATTCATGCTGCATTTTTTTATTTTCATAAAAACACGAGTTAAAGATGAGGAGATCAGCCTTAGTTTTGTTAATTCATCTGAAGTAGTGGATTTTGCCACGAAAGTTCATGATTTTATACATTTATTTTTGTTAGTCGCTATGTGCCACAAGACTACTCATTTTTAATAGTTGTTTTTAATTGTCATTAGCCATAATGATCTGAAGCAAATCCACAACTTTGCCCCCTTTGTAACAGACATTATGATGCACAGAGATGCTCACATTGAGAAAGCAGTACAAGAACAAATTGTTCTACTGAGGGTGGGGAAGCAGGGGAAAGGGCTAAAATGGGACTGATGGATACTGATTCCTCTTCTTTGTCAGACTGCTTGTCTGATCGTTGCATTTCATCAGGTCACTGTAAGTACATTTCTGTTCAAGCAGCTGGCATTTCAGGAAATTCTTCATATAGTGAGGCTTTCTGCTGTAGTCCCAAATACAATGATGTAGCCCCTCTTGATCATTCCATCTCTAGACCTGCGACCTCCAGTGCAGAAGGGAGTTAATTAAAACAATACTGTATAATGCAGGGCTGTTCTGAACCAAGCGTAGGGGCTCGATTGGTAGGAGCATGCGTGAGAGTAACTTACATTTCTTACAGGTACTATCCTATCGTAACCCTCTCACCTAGGCAAGAAGTAAAAACTGGAAACTGAAGAGGATTTGTAATGCAAAATATATGTAATTAAAGCAATAACTCTGATTTTCTGTTTTTAATGCAGTTTCATTCCTATTGGAGTGTGTGCAGGTGTGGGGAGTCTCAGGGCAGGGGGCTGAACGTGTGTAGAGGACATTGGAGTCAGGGCAGAGGGTACGTGTGAGGTACAGGGGATGGAGGCAGCTCAGGGCAGGGTATACAAGTGTGGGCACAAGGTGCAGGAACTAGCAGGGGAGTCTAGCGTACCCCAAGAAATATAAGACTCCTAAAAAGAGCACAGTAAACTGGAAGGGTTGAAAAGCTCTAAAGAGCACTCCCCTGGCAAACTCTTGCCACAGTGCAGTCAGCTCTTGCTGGAGCGATTCACTGGAGCGCACTCCCTTATTTTCACCTCTGGGTGGGAGACATGCACAGACTTCAGGGTCATTCTCTAAGCTTATTTGCCATAACTTGTCTAACAGGGTGACAATGTTAGGGATTTAACAGTGTCAGAAAAACTGTGTTGTGATGTCGGTCAGCTTAGTGTCAGCATTACATGATTTAGCAGATGTCTTGGATCAGGTCATTGCTCTGTGCTCTCAATTATACTAGCAATTTCCAGTTGTATTTCAGGAGTAGCATTGCCTAGTAGGATGTAGAAAAGCATCCTGTAATATAGTAATTAGGCAGTGATAAGAACAGGCCTCACTTCTTTGCATAAACGGATTGTGCCCACACAGGACAGTATTCAGCTGAAGTGTCGCAAAGTGCCAGGGTTTCTGATTGCAGAGTAGACAGGATGTAACCAGCGTGCATAGACGGTGAGTTTGTATGCTAACCTTGACTTTAATTTTTCTGGTGTAGACTCAAACAGAGAGCGTGGACTGAGAGTAAGACCAAGCTACACAGGACTGACGGAATAAGTGAGTTTCGTCCCAAGCCAGCGAATGCTGAGTTTATGTTTGGCCACTCTGTTTTTGAGCTGGAATGCACAGACTGGCATCTTTGCTGAGTTTGCATGCAGTTGGTTGGCTGCATAGTCTAGGATAGGGCTACTCAATACGCAGTCTGTGGACCACATATGGCCCGCGGCCTGTTTGTTTGTGGCCCGTGATGCAGTTTGGGTTTATGTGGGGCTCAACACAGGGCCCGCAGGTAGGAGCCAAAACAAAAAATTAGTCAATATAATTGTCTTCTGTTAATATGTGTTTTAGTAGTTAAATTCCTGGTCTGTCATTGCTCATTAAAAATGCTGTCATATACGTGGAAATCGGGTAAATATTACATTTTATTAAGATCAGTAGAACTGACTTAAATGGAGCCTGTGTGTTGTGTAGTCTTGCCTTAATCTTTGTATTCATGCCCATCAGTGTGAGTACGTCTATACTACATGGCTCCGTCGACAGAGCCATGTAGATTTGTTTATTGGACAAAGGGAAATAAAGCGGCGATTTAAATAATCGCCGCTTCATTTAAATTTACATGGCTGCCGCGCTGAGCCGACAAACAGCTGATCAGCTGTTTGTCCGCTCAGCGCGCTAGTCTCTTTCACAGGCTGTGTCAAGACTACATGGCTCCATCGACAGAGCCATGTAGATGAGGGTTGTAGGCAAAGGGAAATAAAGCGGCGATTTAAATAATCGCCGCTTCATTTAAATTTACATGGCTGCCGCGCTGAGCTGACAAACAGCTGATCAGCTGTTTGTCGGCTCAGCGCGGCAGCCATGTAAATTTAAATGAAGCGGCGATTATTTAAATCGCCGCTTTATTTCCCTTTGCCTACAACCCTCATCTACATGGCTCTGTCGATGGAGCCATGTAGTCTTGACACAGCCTGTGAAAGAAACTATTTGCATATTTTGCATATATATTTGCATATATATATATGCAACCACACTGAAGTTGAGGCCCTCTGCATGGGCTGTGAGTATCACTTTGGGCCCCCAGGGCTTCCAAAGTTGAGTAGCCCTGGTCAAGGATGTTCAGTGCATTCACAAGAGTACTTTCTCATATGCCAAACATCTTGTGCTATTTGGTGATTCACAGATCATTTGCACCTTGTGCTTCCCTGGGCATTTGTGTAAATCATGATGTCATCAGATTGGAGTTTGTTTTCATGAACTCTCATGCTGATTGACTTTTTGCTCCACACCCTCCTGCTTGTCACTCATAGTCCCCCACCACCCTTCCTTTGTCTCTCTGTCTAGCTAATCTCTTCCTAATATAACTCCACTGACATTTCTATAAAAAAAAGAAAAAACAATCAAGCTGCAGAACATGACAACTACGGCCGTCACACTGTGTGCTCTGCTTGTATTTTCTGTCCTGTTCCCTTACCCTTTGTCTGTCCCACCTATGTCGATTACAAGCATTTGGGGGAGGAGATGTGCTCTTCTTCTATGTTTGCACAGTACCTAACACAGTGGGGCTCTGTTCTCAGCTGGTCCCTAAGCACTATTATAATATGCATGATTAACAATAAAAATAAATCTGTGACTCATCAGCAGCACCAAGTGCTTTTTGGTTTTTACAACAGCATCATTTATAGTCCCTTCCCCCATGAACCATTCAACCACTGGGTCACTGCCAGTATAAATTAGAGCAGCATTAACGCTGCTCTCTTAAAGCTACTCACTCATTCCATCAGTCCTGTGTAACTTGGTCTTACTCTCAATCCACAATCTCCATTAGAGTCCACATTAAACAAAAATTAAAGCCAAGGTTACCATACAAACCCACTGTCTCAGCGAGCTGGTTACATCCTGTCCACTCTGTGATCAGAAACACTGGCACTTTTTGACACCTCAGCTGAATACTGTCCAGTGTGGACACAATCCCTTTAGGCAAAGAAGCTAGGCTCTGTAATTAACACCACCTGCTTAATTCCAAGAGGCCATTCTAGCAGTTGAGCAATATGAGGCCTTGAAAATGCTGAGACTGGTTCATTACCAACAAGTAATGTAGCAAGCAAGCAGAGTTATAGACAAAGAGATCTTTCTTGAGCTTGCGTACGAGCTAGTGTTACATGCTGGGAAGGCTGTGTTTGTCTGGTAGCCACCAATTTGTACACACAAGGCCCTGATGTCACAGCAAATCAGATTCCTTCTGGAATGTGATTCTCTCTCTAGTTTTACTTTTCATAGGATGCATTAAAAAGGAACCCTAGGTTTACAATTGTGTATCTGGCTGATGATCTATTGAGAAACCTTCATCACATAGCCTGCAAGGAGACTACAATCTACCATCAGGGTTATATATACTTGTGTCAAGTGTGTAAAACCCAACCCAATGATAAAGTGTCTTTCCTGAGCTGACAGGCAGGTGAGAATCTGTCCGTAACACTGAGTTATAAGAAACATAAGAAGTTGGGAATCAGAATACAATAGGGTACATTATGTTTTAATTTGGCATCAGGGGTTTAAGAATGGGTCTTTTCCTGAAACTCAGAGACTGGCATTGTTAGAAGACTGTGTGTTTCAGCTACAGAAGGATAAGCTCTGGCATGTACTAACCAACCCAAAAGTTAGTTATAATGCAATTCTGATGTTTTTCTTTCCATTCTTGTTGAATGAATGGTCTTGTTTAATGTGTAGGACTCCTTGTGGACACTAGCTTTTGTTCACTTCTGTACACTCACCAAGTCACCTTAGGAAAGAAAAAATGGATGCAAGTTGGATCTTGTAAAAGATTCTGGTTCGCTAAGGAAGAAGCAGGTTTGAATTGAGGACATTTCTCCTTTCACGTTTGTGCTAATATTTTTGCACAGCCAGCCAAGACAAATTGTTCTTGGCATTTTCTCTCCCCCCACTCCCGTTAGCTTTGGGATGGCTGCCATCCAATGCAACACTTCCATTTCTTGGAGGACACCAAGAAAGAAACTGATCTCTACACACTGTGGCGAGCACCCATTCAATTGTAGGGCCAACTCTTACTCCCTTCTCTGCAATTGCAGAGGGCGACAGATGCAGTCAAACTAGTGCAGCTTCATGGGGGATAGAGAGAGCAGGTTATGTACAGCCTGCACAGGGCAACTGAAACCCCTTCATGCTACGGTGTGCTGCTCCATAGGGATTCCCCTGAAGTCTGCATTGTGAGGTATGGAAAGAAACAACAACAGGGCTTGTGGAATCACTACATGCATCCTAAGCAACTTCTTTCATTGGGAGCAATGAACCTGACTAGAAGAAGACGGGGTTGTAGAAGAAGCAGGGCTCACCTTCACATTGGGTGTGGAGGGAATTCCTTATTCCTCTTGCTTGGTCAAAGGTAAAATAATAAAGAGATTGATATGGAAACCCCTAGGAAAGAAATACATGGTGAGTGATCAGTGACAAGAGTTAACAATAATAAAATAAATAATAATATCATTAATAAAATGATGATAAAATAATAAAATAATAACAATAATAATTAATAAAAACAAAAGCCACAACCACAAGAAAGCCCTGTGTAAATATGTTACTCTGCGCCTGTCTAAACTGGCAGCGAATATTTGCGCAAGAACACTGACTTTGTACTGTACAAAATCAGTGGTTCTTGCGCAAATACTCCGACGCTCCCGCTCACGGATGAGCCCTCTTGCGCAAGTATTCTTGCGCAAGAGGGCCAGTGTAGACAGCCAAGTTAATTTCTTGCACAAGAAAGCCCAAAGGCTAAAATGGCCATCGGAGCTTTCTTGCGTAAGAGAGCATCTACACTGGCATGGATGCTTTTGCGCAAAAGATGTCTTTTAACAGAATATACTTTTAACAGAAAAACTCTTCCGTGAAAAGTATTTGCGCAAAATCTTGCCAGTCTAGACGCAGCCCTAGAGTTTTAACAGATGAGCAGATAAACTGGGCTTTTATTATATAGGTGGCCAAGGAGAATGTGGTGATCCCCATAGACTTTAGCAAGGGTTTCCTTTCAAACTAGTTTAGAAACTTTATAGGGAAATTGGAAAGCTGCTGTTTGATTAAAGATCGGCTGAATATAAATAGAGTAATTTTGAAGGGGGCATCAACACATTAAGGAGAAATGTGAGGTGGAGTACCACAGGGACGAATATTGAGACCAGTATTATTTCGCATTTTATTTATAAACAATGTTGGCTTTCTGCTTCAGAACAGAGTGTTCCTATTAGCACTCGAGAAGGGCCTGCAGCCCTGAACCAGAGGCATAAGCACAGGTGCACTTGGGTGAGCCATGGTGGCCCACCCAATTAGCATCCAGGAGCACCCATCCCCCAACCCTGGCTCTGCCCCACCCAATGCTTCAGCAGGGGAGTGAGGTTCTGGTGCTGAGGCTTGCCCTGCTACATCCGGTGCTCCAGCGGGGGTCAGGGCGCAGGGGCTGAAGGGCAGGTAAGCTTAGGGTTGCCAGGTGTCTGGTTTTCTACCGGACAGTCCCCCCCGCCCCAGCCAGCACCGCTCCCCTCTCGGCCGGTCCCTTCCCCCCCATTAAGCGTGTCCGGTATTTTTTTTACGACTACCTGGTAACCCTAGGTAAGCTCCCATGCCCTAACTCCACTCCCTGGATGGAGCACCAGGCAGGCAGATGCAGCAGGGCAAGACCCTGACCTCGCTCTGGGTGGAGCAGGGTAAGTCCCCAGATTTTGACCCTGCTTTCTGGCAGGAGCAGCAGGCAGAGCAGGGTGAGCCCTTGACCTTGCTTCCCAGCTGGAATATGGGGCCAGAGGGCAGGGGCTTACCCCACTCCACCCAGTGCTCTACAAGCCCCCCTACAAGCCCCCATGTCCCGACTCCTGGCCAGTGTCCATCGCTCCTCGTAAAGCTGCCTGGAGGGGATGGTAGAAGGCAGCCCTGCTCCCTCCAGCCCCTTATAGGTGTCGTACAGTCCCATCGTAAAACCCATCAGCGTGTGTGGAGAAACAAGGGCTGTGGGATGTTTGATAGATTTGTCTTGGACATCCATAGTAGGGGACAGTCTGAAGAGGCCAGTACCAAAAAGAAGGGGAAAGATCTTTGAGAAATCAGGACCCTGAGACTGACAGTCCCCAGGAACAATGGGAAGAGGCCAGCACTCCAAGTCAGCCTGATTGCCAGGACAGGCCAGCCAGGGAGGGAGTGAGGAGTTTGGGGAGAGCCCTATCCTCTGCATCAGCTAAATTTCCAGGGTCAGACTGAGTGGGACCAGGCTACAGAGACAACATGTGCCTGAGCTGAGCTGGGAGGAGGGCTATGCCAGCCATAGAGGGCCAGAGACATAGCCCAGCATCAGATCTATGCGAGGAGGAGAGTTGCAGCCAGAGATCCGGAGACAGAGTGCAGAGAGCAGATCCAGGCTCGGCGAGGGGCTGGAGCCCTGGAGCCAGAAGGGCCAGAGAAGCCACCTGGGAGCTGGAGGCAGCACAGCAGAGAGTGGAGCTTGTAAGGGCCTCAACAGCCTTGTTGCTTAACAAAGTAGTGTTATCTGCATTGTGCAAAAAGGGAATTGAGATATAGGAAGGACAAGACCAGCACTTTCATTATTCCATGCTGCCCAAATATAAATAAATAAAGATTTACCCGTCTCATAGAACTGGAAGGGACCTCAAGAGGTCATTGAATCCAGTCCTCTGCCCACATGATAGGACCAAGTACCATCCCTGACAGATTTGCCCCAGATCCCTAAATGGTCCCCTCAAGGATTGCGCTCACAACCCCGGGTTTAGCAAGCTAATACTCAAACCACTAAGCCGTATTTAGGAAACAGGATGAAAGCACTCTGTCTTTCAATGGTGCTGAGCACACACAATTCCCACTGATGTCACTTTATGCAACCAAGTTTAGCTTTATGTGGTCTGGGCGATGTCCTCCAACATTAGAGCGATCTGTTGCAAAACTAGGAACAAGCACAGATTCCTTGCCTTACTCACAAGTCGAGCTCACGCTTCCACTGAGGATGCTCCCCCTGCTGGATGCCACGCCACTGAAATGACAGTGGTTCAGTGTCTCCTACACTTCCCTTGATTTCCATGTCATCACATCATCAGTGGGAAAGCCTTATATCTTCTACTTAAAAAAGAAATGGCCATTACATATAAAATATCCTGTTAAAATAATACTTGTCCATTTAATGGGGGAAAAAACAGGATTTATGATCCATAAGAAGAAGTTAAAGAAGCCTGATATACAGATTAGACAAAAATTGACCTTGCAAACATTTTTTTAGCATATTTCTGATTTAATAACAAACAGCAATTGGGAACTGCAAAATGAGGCACCTAAAACAATAGGTTAGTCATTTGCAAATATTGCTGAACAACAGGGGCAATTAGAAAATGGAACAACTGCCTGGGGAGATTGTTGTGATACCATCTCTACCTCACCTGTTACGGCAGAAAGTAAAACATATAGTACACTCTTTGCCAAACTTGAAATTTACCTTTTAATATTATAGCTGATTTAAATCAGAGTGAATAGCTTTATTCATGTGACTAGTCCCATTAAGTTCAATGGGAGTACTCATGAAAGTGGTTACTCATATAAATGTTTGAAGGATCAGGCTTTGAGTAATTAACCACAAAAATGTTATTATTAAAGTCACTGATCATGCTTAAAAATAGCAATTACATGTGCACTTGAGTTTGAAAACTCTTTATGGGTTATTTTGGGGCCCTCAAAAACATACACTAACAATTAAAAATGACATTGCATTAGGTGCACCCATGGAAGTAGCCCATACATGTCAATGAACAAATCTCACAGTTGCATAAAGTGACTTCTAAACTTCCATTGAAAATGCCAATTGTAGTGTGTCATACACTTCCACTGATATGATAATGGATTTGTGTCTCCTGCACTTCCTTTGAATTCTGAGCCATTAGGCTGTCAATGTAAAAGTCTTATGCATTCTCCTGCTGGGGGGAAAAAAACCCCAAAGGACGTTATTTTTAAGATCTTATATTATATTTAAATGTTACTGGTCTGACTGAATGGCAACAAGCCATGAAATTCAGTGTGACTGCTTGTTTTATATTTTTACAACAGAATAAGTTACTTAGGCATAGACCACTGGTACCATTTATGGATTTGGGGGTGGGGAAAGTTGCACAAGGAGCACCAACATTGACTGAATTTCCATGTCCTGGAACACTAGGGCATGGATTGTGGTTTGGGCTACGTGCTCACATAGGAAAAAGTAAGCAAGATTCCTCCAGTAGACAGTATTGCCAGGCCTTGGGGCTGAATGTCTAGGAGTAAATAGGGGCTGCACACCTCCTTCCTTCTGCCCAGAGCCGATTGTCAGAACCTTTGCTTTGTTCTCTGCTCAACACAACATACCATGTCACATCCCTGAGTCAGTGTAAGCCAGCTATGAATTGCTACCTCCCTCTTGTACACCCTGGAGCAAAAGGGAAGCAGTGAGGGGAATTTTGCTTCTGCAGCAGCTCAATCTCTTCCAGGGCCTCAAGGCACAAACTAGCCATAAATGACCCTACATAAATGTAAGTGCTGTGGTACTTAGCCTTGAAAGGGTGAGCTAAGAATGTTGTGGGAAACTGAATAATGAATCTATTTGCTTTTGTTGGTTTAACTTCTGACCTTTTACTTCTTCATTTTAATTTAGGACTTTGGTAGTTAATGGCAGTATGCTAATAGAGAGCTGCATGGAGATCTTTTACCACTGCAGACCTTCATATATAGTCCTTATATTTCACATGCTAATAGTCCTGCAAGCCTCTTAATATCCAGCAGCCTTTAGTACTTCGGGGTAACGTGACAACATACATGGAGACGGAGGTAGGACTGAAATTTGAACCATGGTATAGATCTGTCTGCTTCCTACTTTATTGTTAGTTTTTCATGTCTCTGTTCTCTACTCTGCAGGCTCTCTCACTAGACTCTTATTTTCTTTAGATTGATGGAGACTATGAAAGCCAAAAACCACTATAAGGGCAGGAAATGCAAAGTGTGGTCACTTTCTGCAACCTATTATAAAACAAAATTGCTTACTATCCTTTGAGTAACATGAGGTTTCAGTTATTGATTTGGAGTTGTGCATCACCATACGAGCAAATACTTTAATATACTGCGACCTTTCAAAAAAAAAAAAGACAAATATGGCCTTCTTCTCCCTTTATTTCCTATAAAGGACTATCAACCCAGCTCTGAACTTTTTTTCCCCCTCATGCAGACTTTATCTTCCTGTGGATACACTGCAAAAGAATATGTCTAGTGAGCTCGTCAGGCCATATCTGGATTATTCTATTGAAATCGAGGCATGTTATTCTACATTCACATCATATCCTTTGTGATCAAGACATCTGTGGTAATACTGTGGACAAGGGCACCATTTCAGGAGGTTGGGCTCCAGCCAGGTGAGAGAGGCATGCACAGACTGCAAGCACTGTCCCCTCACTCCCTTAACATCTGGGGAACAGGATCAGAAGCAAACTGTGTCCCAGAGCGCATGGTGGCTGCCCCCTCTACCCTCCAGAAGTCTAAAGAAAGAAAGGTCTAATGTAAGGCATCAGAGAGCTGGATACAGAGTTTTCCTTCAGCAATCGGTGCCTAGTGTGTCCTTAGTAAGCTCATATAGATCAACATCAATCTTCTTCCTGTGGAAGTTATTTACCTACCTGTAGTTCTGTTCCTCACCTGTAAAATGTGGATAGCATTTCCCGCTCTCATCAGTGAGATGTTAAAATCCATTAATGATTATCTGTCCATGGTCACCAAACGTGCTAAACGTTTTGTAATGCTTCTGATGCCTGGCAGACAAGATCCCTGCTCATTTACAAGAGCTAAATTATAATAAACAGGTGCATTGCACTGACTTCAGTTATGCCACTTAATAGAACACAGTGTTATCATGACTGCAGTGCATGAATGGGAGCCTCAGGACTTTTCCATACTCCCAGAACAGCAGTTATTCCAGTTCCACATGGTTTCCCTGTTGTAGTTGAGCGGTGGGGAAGGGCTCGGGGGGTGGGATTTTCTAAAATAAGCCAGATTTCCATGACAAGCTATTGTGGAGCAGACTTTCAGGATAGATGGTTTGATGCTGATTTTTGAGGAAAAACATAGATATGTGCTCTAGGCAATGTCACAGTTGATGCATAGATGGAGAATAAATAAGGTGTCAGTTTTGTGTTTGGCAGCCAAATCAAATTACCATGAATCCAAACAAATCCAACTCCATCCAAACAGGTATATATTGGCACACACACAACTAGTTATTGGTTGAAGACTGACTCTGTGCTACAGGAGTAGAAATCAGAGATCCCCTTTCTTCATCAAGAGCCTACTGTGGGTTTGGATTTATTTTTACTACCCTACTTTCACTCAGCTGTACAGAGATATGGAAATTCATGCATAGGATCACATTGACAGAAGAATCTGGCCTTAGTTTGCTTCGACTGCTATAAAAAAGGAAAGACGACTTTATGGCTAAGCACAGGAAGAGACTCAAGAAGTTCTGAGTGCTACATTATTACTGCGACCTTTAGCAAGTCACCTTTCCTAGGTATGCCTGAGTTTTGTTCTCTGCAGATGCAATATTTACCTAGGTGCATGTTGCAAGGTTTATTTCATTAGTGTTTGCAAAGCAGTTGGACATCCTCAGACAAAAGGTGTGCTGTCTCTCCACACACACGCACCCACTCTAAGCAGGCACTTTAGAAGCAACTAAAGATATCTATGATGCAAGTGCAAAATATGGTTAGTTTTGAGAGGAAAGTAATCAGGACACATTCATAATGTTTCAATAATTGTTCTTTAATAGTTCAAAGTGACTGTAGGATTTCATCATTAGGACTCCTAACCATGTGACTGAAAACTGCCGCATGATGCCCAATTAATTACTCCTCAGAATTCTTCCAAAAAGGTTATGTTTTAGTTTAATATATTGCTGTTGTTCCTACCACTAGCCTAAAATTTATCAAGACATGCCTGAGGTTTTATTGATCAGTCGTGTTCATTCACTGAAAAGTTTGGCAATGGAGCAGTAGATCCCTGCAAGTTCTGGTCCTGTAACTGACAATAGCCAAATGTACCCATGCCTAAATTAAGCATTATCTTTCCTCTTCCCTACCCACTGCCCTTTAGCTAATGGATAAAAGCGGCTTTGGAATAATTTGCTTTGTATTTTTCACATTGCATAGATAGACCATTAACATTCCCTTGGACTCAGAGGTAGCCACAAATGCACAACTCCTGACTTGGTTAATTTGAACTGCATGCCTACGTTCCTTCCTCCCCCCTCATTGATGGAAAACTGACCTGTACACTATGGCTGTGTCTACATTGGCACCCCTTTCCGGAAAAGGGATGCTAATGAGACACTTCAGAATTACAAATGCCACGGGGGATTTAAATACCCCCCGCGGCATTTGCATGAACATGGCTGCCGCTTTTTTCCGGCTCTGGGTTTTGCCGGAGAAAAGCGCCAGTGTAGATGGGATCTTGCGGAAAATAAGCCCTTTTCCACAAGATCCCTTATTCCTACCTGAAAGTGGATTTATATAGATTTATGTGGATTTATACCTGAAAGTAGGAATAAGGGATCTTGCGGAAAAGGGCTTATTTTCCACAAGATCCCGTCTAGACTGGCGCTTTTCTCTGGCAAAACCCCGAGCTGGAAAAAGGCGGCAGCCATGTTCATGCAAATGCCGCGGGGGGTATTTAAATCCCCCGCGGCATTTGCAATTCCGACTGGTCTCATTAGCATCCCTTTCCCGGAAAGAGGTGCCAATGTAGACACAGCCTTAGTGTTTATATGAAATAAATAGTTTAAAAGGATCCATAATGTGCCATATGTAAGGGACTAGCAGAAAATAAAACAAAATCCTTGTAATTATAACACAGATATGAAAGTTACTCAGCAGCAGTCCCAAGAAGTTGTTTCCCCTTGGAGAGCAATACATGCTGCCACTGATGTTTTCTAAGTAGAGGGCATATGACCTTTCTGGTGAGCAGAGTTCACTAAATTGCTTCCTGTTTTGGATCTGTGGAACCACAGGGCGTGCGTCCTCAATCAAGCAGTGTGGGGTGAACGTGAACAAAGTGGATGCTTCAGAAGCTGTTCGTACTAGAGGAAACATGGTTTTTAGCAGAGTAGGCTTTGAAAGATCAAAGATCATGGCACACAGACAAAATAATAGTACCAATAATAACTCTCCTGCTTCAAGAGTCACAGAACTGAGAAGAACAAAAGATATCTTGATGCATCTCCTATATTGTGCTTAGAAGTTTTATAGTAGAAAATGTTTCTCTTTAAACTAACTATACTTACACATGGGGGAGGGGAAGAAACATACTATCTATAGGATGGAAAACAAAAACTCCCTTTCATGAGCAATGGAAGAAGCTGTAAATGTAGGCACTGTAAGGTTGAAAGATACAGGAAAAGCATATTAAGTAATTACAAAACTTAAGTTTCATTGTATTAAATAAATTCTCCTGGGGGTTTGTGCTTCTCTGTTTGTTTTGACGGATATCAAGTGAACCATTAAATGATAACCATCAAAACATATTGAGAGTTCATAAAAACAGAAGGTTGAACTGTAAGTCAAAGCCTGCATGTAAGTGAACGAAACCCTCCGGCATGTCCTTTTGTTGTTAACAGATGAGCTGTGGTCAAAAAGAGCCTTTGTTTCTTCATAGGTGTCCCAATGCTGAATGGTACCCAACTCTACAAAAATATTGGCAACATCACAGTGTGTTAAAAGTGAACAGAAACACATGCATACTGTATTTAGATGAGTCAGAGTCTTATTTAAATATTCTGACACATTGTGAGGGAAGACATTTGCAATGCAAGGTAGGGATTTGTGTACTGCTAAGTGGGGATATTTAAGCAGGTATTCAGTTTCCATGTGTTAAGCAATTGCCTCTAAGAATAGGGATAGCAAGCAAAAGTATCATATTACATGAATATAAGTACTCAGTTCTTCTTGAATTGTTCTAAATCCATTTTCTCAGTTTATGTAGATAGATTAGCAAGGTTCATAAAGTTCTCAATCACTGAGAACAACTACTTAAGAGAAGAAAATTATGATTGTTAAGTTAGAAAGTATCCTTTTGCCCAATTTTCTAAAGGTTTAAATTTGCTATATTAAAACTTTCACACATCTGTTAAATTCTTGGAGCTTCTCTGTTAAGATTAACAGAGTAACTGTAGTGATTACTAACACAAGGATATGGATAGCTAAGAAACCGAACTGCTTTTGACCCCAATGCCTCTAGGATCTCCTGCTTGCAGGGTACATATTTCACTTCCCCCTTTCCCAGACTGTGGCTTAATGCAACAACTGAGCCCACAAAATTTCTTGAACACAACTCTTGGGCTGGACGGTTGTAGAATAAGAAATAATTAGTGCCTCTTCTGTGGAAGAGTAATAACATTAACTTTTAAATAGCAGATCTGTGCTGATTAATTCACTTGCTTGGATTTATACAGTAAAATGATACAATTAGTGGCCAACATCTTCAAATATTGGTGCCCATAGTTTTGCACCTAAAGAAAGGGAGATTCACCTTCAGCAATGCTGAGCCTCTAGAATTGCCTGGGAACAGGGCACCTTCCTGTTCCAGGTCCCCCCTCTTCCTGTGTCTGTTCCATTCCTTCCCTCCCCACTGCCTGAAGCCCTATCGCTGGAGTGACGTGAGCCAGGGGTTTGCCAGGAGCCTGGCACAGAGTGACAGCGGAGGTCACTCCTCCCTCCCCTGCACTCCCCGTGGCAGGCAGCAAAAAGCAGAGCAAAGCAGCAGTCTGTTCTGCCCTGCCACCATCTCTCTGTCTTCACCATGGCGGTGGGAAGCAGAGCTCCCCATCCCCAATCCACTCCCACAAGCTCTGCATTGCTTGAGGGTGAGTGGAGTGTGCTGAGGCTGAAGCCAGAGCACTTCACTTCATGCGGTCATGGTGAATGGAATGGGTTAGGAGATGGCAGCAGGGCAGAGCAGGCTGCTGGGTCACTCCACTTCCCACCACCGGCCCAACACCTGCTGCCACCCCCCTGCCAGGCCTGTCAGTAATCCCTCAGGCCACCCTGGACCCTGTAATGGCAGCTAACATGGGGGACCATCCCGTGGTCCGTAGGATGGTTGTGTCAGCAACCACGAGGCCCGCCAAAGTGTAGAGTCTAGGGCAGCCACTGATGGACAGGACTGCTGTGCTGGGGGTGGAGGGGGGCTATCATAGGGCAGCAGCAGGGTCTGACCCACTTCCACTCACCACAGCAGTGGGGGCTGAAGCAACCCAGTAGCCTGCTCTGCTGCCATCCTCCCAGCCCATTGTGCTTTGTTTCACTGCAGCAGCAGGAAGCAGAGCACCTTGGCCCTGGCCAGCCCTGCTCCCAGATGCAGAGCAAGGTGGGGGGAGCAGAGGGGAGCAGGCTGGGGCATTCTGATTTCTGTCGCCATGGTGAAGCAGAGCACAGTGGGCTGGGAAACGGGTGGGGAACCATGCAGGCTGTTGGGTCACTCCAGCTCCCGCTGCCATGGTTAGTGCAGTGGGTCTGACTCCTGCTGCTGATACCAGCCTCCTCTGCTAATCCCCTGGCTCTCTTAGTTGGGGCGGGGACACTGAGGAAGAAGGCAGGAGGAGGCAGAGTAGATGCAGGAAGAGACGGGGCAGGAGCAGAGTAAGGACTTGGGGGAAGGGATGGAATGAGGGCAGGACAGGGGTGGGGCCTGTGGGAGTGGGGATGTCTGGGCCCTGCACCTGGGGTGGGAGAGTAGAGTTGCCTTGGGCCTCACCCCCACCCCGAGGGATGACCCTGTCAATACCAACGTATTTCAGCAACACAGCAGTAGCACACAGAAGTATTACCCCAGTAACTTCCAGGTCAAGTTAATTAGACTATAAACATATGTCATGTTGTAAATTCCATAGGGAATGTGACAATCAAGCTATGTCCTCTTCAGTTCACACCTCCTAACCAGTAAAAATAAATGCGATGATCGGAACTAGTAAATACTTCTGGGCTACGTCTAGACTGGCATGATTTTCCGGAAATGCTTTTAACGGAAAAGTTTTCTGTTAAAAGCATTTTCAGAAAAGTATGTCTAGATTGGCAGGACGCTTTTCCACAAAAGCACTTTTTGCGGAAAGGCATCCGTGCCAATCTAGACGTGCTTTTCTGCAAAAAAGCCTCGATAGCCATTTTCACGATCGGAACTTTTTTGCGTAAAACAAATCTCTGCTGTCTACACTGGCCCTTTTGCGCAAAAGTTTTTCGGAATAAGACTTTTTCCCAAACGGGAGCAGCATAGTATTTCCGCAAAAGCACTGACAATCTTACATGAGATCGTCAGTGCTTTTGCGGAAATTCAAGCGGCCAGTGTAGACAGCTGGCAAGTTTTTCCGCAAAAGCAGATGATTTTGCAGAAAAACTTGCGAGTCTAGACACAGCCCTGGTGGTATGTGACCAAAAAGAACAATTCAGTTCACTCTGGCCTAACTGTGTTCACTCCAACAAGCTCAAGTTAAAAAAGTATTCTTTGGGCAAGTCTATACTACACACTTGTCTTCCAGTGAAGACACACTAAGATGGCAGGAAAGAAGTCTCACCTTAGTAACTACCATGGAAGTCTCACCTTAGTAACTTTGGGTATGTCTACACTACCCTCCTAGTTCAAACTAGGAGGGTAATGTATGTATACTGCACTTGCTAATGAAGCCCGGGATTTGAATTTCCCGGGATTCATTAGCATAAGCGGGGAGCCGCCCTTTTTCCTATTCCGAACTACCGGTACACCTCGTTTCAAATCCTGGGCTTCATTAGCAAGAGCGGTATGCATACATTACCCTCCTAGTTCGAACTAGGAGGGTAGTGTAGACATACCCTATCTCTGTCAGAGGCGGGAGCTAATTTAGTGGGAGAAACTCTCTTACTGAAATAGTGCTGGCTTGCTGGCTACATGGACTGTTATAACTTCATTGCTACAGGGTGTGGATTTTGCACACCCCTGAGTGACAGAATTATACCAAAGTAAGTGTATAGTGTATATGTGGATATATCTATGCTCACAAGGAGCAGAGCTGTTGAGTTAGATGTTCTTTCATGTTTACGAAGTTACATTTTAGAAGCTCAAGCATGCAGTGAATATAAACAAGGTTGTAGTCTTTCACAGCAGAGGTAATATAGCAGTTTCTGGGGAGGCTCTGGAAACTTGATTCTGCAAATTTGTTTATCACCAGTGTCACTGAAGAACGTAACCTTTCATAATGGTTTGATTAAATCAGAAATACAACAATCATAACAGTTTTCTGTGCT